GATTAAATGGATCTGGCACTCACAAACTCATAATGTGTAGCTATAATCCTCATATGGCCTCTTGTGGGGTTTTTGGGTTTTTTATATAACCAAACTTTTGAGCCAGACTTCATACTAATGATGATTAATACATTAATAAGTGCACACAATAGCTGGAGGCAAATCATTGGTGCAAAGAAAAGGACAGAACTGTGGGTGACGTTTGCTGTTAACATCTTTCATGTCATGTGTATTCATGTTTGACTCCAAAACAACCCCCCAACCAAACACACACACACACACACACACACACACACACACACTCCAGTGTAGCATGCTTTCATACTGCATTACATAACGTATTAGAGGTAAGTCACATATTTCTGGAAACAATAAACAAGAGCAAACACTGCGTTCCATACCAAAGTGCCCAACAAGCAGATTCCTCCATCAAAGTTGAGGAAGTGAGTCAATGAGTCAAGCCACATTGTACAGAAGGAAACACAAGTCTCTTGAAAGATCTCAAAAGCCCACTCCACAGTAGCTTTCTGTGCTGCTGCCCCTGCTCTGTGAAATAGCATTTCTGACAAGATATGGCGGGTACAGTGGTACCTCAAGTTAAGTACTTAATTCGTTCTGGAGGTCCGTATTTAACCTGAAACTGTTCTTAACCTGAAGCACCACTTTAGCTAATGGGGCCTCCTGCTGCTGCCGCGCCGCCGGAGCACGATTTCTGTTCTCATCCTGAAGCAAAGTTCTTAACCTGAAGCACTATTTCTGGGTTAGCGGAGTCTGTAACCTGAAGCGCATGTAACCTGAGGTACCACTGTACTCACAATCTACACATTCTGGAAGCAATTCTGACAGGCTCTCTCAGGTGGATAAATATGTCTGTGCCATGAGCACCTATTTTGTATAGTTTCACTTTAAATATATCAGCTATTTCTTGCTTTAACTGTTTTTTAATCGTATGTAACAAAACGAAAGGTGAAAGGTGGAAAAATTAAATTGTACTATTTATATAATTTGAGAACGCATGAAATTAAAACTTTTCTAAACATAAGCCTATGTTTAAGTTATCTTAGCCAGTCTCTCTCTTCTAGGCAGGGAAACACAAATATTATTTGTGGGGTTAAATTGGGGAGCCATGAGTCACTCAACCAAATGGAATGCCTCATGTTGGAGCAGGAGGAGAAGGCATCCCATGAAGATTTAAAAGATCTTTAAAATATCACTTTTAAAAAGGTTCAAGATGAGTGATTTCTTACCAGGTTCATCCTCTTCACTTCCCACTATGGCGGGGGCAAGCTCGGCCACTGGCTGTGGCTATGAGAGAAACAAAAAACTTTGGGGTGTTAATGCTGTGAATCCCTCCATCGTAGGCTAAGGTTGTGTGTGTGTGTGTGTAAATAAACCATATATCATAAAGACACCACATTATTCACTCTGCCATATTTCCAAACCCCTGAAATTTCTTTTTTAAAAAAATAAATATTAAATTTTCCATTTTAACAATTCAATCAAATCACATTAAATATTCCAGATTATAAAAATACATATCATATAGTCCAAATATTCCGCCAAATTATAAATTTTTATTGGGGCTTCCCATGCTTCAAGTTCGGTGGGGCTCTGATCATCTTATATCTCTACTGCCTTGAGTTTCCAATAGTTCCTTTAATTCTTCCTGTTGTTACCTTTCCCAAACCCCTGAAATTTCACACCACTTAAGAGACTGGGATGACATGAAACAATATGATGCATATTAGCACATTGTCTAGAATTCTTCAAAGTTTACACAGTAGATTTTAATGCATATTAGAGTCAGAGCAAAATAGGTAAAAAAAGGGGGCATGACTTTGATTGACTTTAAGACATTCTTAGATGCATATTTGAACCACCTTATAATTTTTTGGGGGGGGATATTAGGGGAAATACCCAATACAGTGAATTTTATAATTGTAGTGTGTTCGTTGTTTACACAGGGAATATTCAATATGGGATTTAACATCTGCATTCTAATGTACTACAGCACTTAATGCAGAAGTATTAAAGCTGCAATCTCTCTCTCTCTCTCTCTCTCTCTCTCTCTCTCACACACACACACACACACACACACACACACACACCCCTGGCAGTAGATACCACTTAATGCAATAGGGATTACTTTTGCTAGTGAGTATAGGATTGTAACTGAAGCCTCACGATAGGCAAGCTCTCTCTGACTTACTTCTGTTTTCAGGCAATCTGAGGCTTGGAAAATGAGAACCCAGCTCCCACCAGCTATCCCCATCCCCCAAATATCCCTGTTTTCCTTTACTTGCTCAAATGCAAGCAGGAGTGGATATTTAGTTCTCCTGAGGGCTACTGCAATTATGGATTTTGATACAGGTGAGTGCTGAATTCAGGGACTTGTCAAGCTCATTTAAGAAGGAAAAAAATTACCAGCATCTCTAGTTTAGCCTTTTGCCTACACATAGCAGCTTCCAATATATTCCACCTAGATCCATTTTTGGCCACTAAAAGGATTGATAATGTTATTTGGGGGCGGGGGGAGAGGAAAGAACTAATTTATAATGTATTTTAGCTTGGCTCAGCACAGAGAGATGCTGTATTTCAGAGAAATAGAAATGAAAGAAGGAGAAAGTTTTAAGGCTGAGATAAGCCTGAAGGAAATAGTTATGGTTTCTTGCACAAATAGTACTTTGCCCCTATTCAGAACAATAACAACACCCTTTTCGTAGGTCGCAGCAAAAGATCATCAGAAAAGGCTTAACAAAGACATGTGCAGTGATGCTCCCATTTTTTATTTTTTTTAAAAAAGCCAACCGAAGTTTTTCTTTTTCTCTTTTAAATAACTAACAGAATGTAGCCAGTAGATGTTATCAAGCAAAAATCTGGAGTATGTTGTACAAACAGAACTCCTTGAAAATTTATTTCCTATAACTATAGGTATGCAATATACTGTATATAGTATATTTATAGTATTATATTCTATTTATATTCTATTTATATTCTATTTATAGTATAGTATCTTTTTAATAAGAATAAAGAGAAATAATTGGACAGTAAGGATATAACATTTATATACGCTGCAATGAATATTCAAAGTGAGATTAACATCAGACATGAGGGCATATTAGGATTCCAGATGAATGCCAAAAATTATAGAGTTACACTAACAAATGTCGGCAGCAGACAATGACCTTTAGGTGATATGCACATTCACTGATCTTTCAGTGTTATATCTTTGGGCATTTCCCAGATAGATAAATGATAGCCAGTACTTCCTAATGATGGTTGACCTTGTCTATATTTCACTTGAAAATATATATTGGCTTATGTCTAAAGGGGTCTCATGTGAGCAGGAAAGCATATCTGCTTGTGCCTGGTGCCACCATCAAACTTCCTCATCCTCCTGTAGCTTCAGTGCCCCATCCCACACCACCCCAGAGGACTTTGCAAGCAACTGAACTCAGGACTTAGCAAGGACCGTGTGGGCAAAGAACCTTCTCTGGGCTCAGAGAATGAAAACTACTTGCAACATCTGATAATACTATGCATGTACATAATGTTGTAGGCCTAGTAGAGATAACTCTGCTAAACAGTTGTTTCCTTTGGTGAGCTTAGGCACTTCACTGAGCACCCAACAGAGGTCCACTCAATCTTTTCTAGATCCAACTCACAATTAGCAATTTTTTATATGTTAGTGCATGGCATGCTATGACAGAATTTGAGTAGCAGGCAAGTAGCCAGGCAACAGAAAGCTGTTCTTCAGATTCATAACCCCCTGCCTAGCCCAATATGGTCCCATGTTATTAATAACTCATTCTCATGCAATGAGCTACGTCATTTGTGGACATAGTCACATTTATTTAGGTGAACTAATCTGGTCCCTGAAACAGCTTACAAATTCATAAAACAGATGCAAATATGTTTGCAAAACCAATTAAAATAAACCAAGTTGATGACTGATTTAGGCTGATGGTGACTAAAATGCTTTTCACTTACTGGAGCATAAAGAAATGGCAACCACACTATGAAGTGATATGAGAAGAACTCATTGACTTTCAGGTAAGCGTGCTCTCAAAAACATAGCCTTACAAGAAAAGTGCATGCAAACTATGGCAGTTCTTAAAATATGAAAAATTGCAAAATTTGCAATCTTTTCTATCTTGCTTCTTGCAGGAAGAAAATTGTAATTAAATTTAAAAGAAAAGATTGATTCCCTGCCACGTTGCATTTACAGTGTAATAGTTCTGCAAACCACTCAAGTCTTCTAGGCAATATGTAAACAAAATCCATTGAAATCAAAGCCTGATGAATCAAAAACATCAAGTTATAGCATCCACATTAAGGAACATCCCACTAGAAATTACCCTGCCCCTGCCCTTTCTCTTCCTGCCCTGCCTATAGATGCACAGAATAGGGGAAGACGTGAAGGCAAAATGAATATGAAGGGGCTTTGCCTAAGCTTCTCTGATCAGACTGAGCTAAGATTAGAGATTGCAGAGCTCTCTCACTTGAGCAGCTCAGGCATTTGCCAGAGCTGTGTGCTGCAGGTTAGCTTAGGAGTTTCATAGTCCCTCAGAAAAATAAGCCTTTGGATGCTTTTGCACAGCTACCTCTCAGCTGTGATTTGTCTCCAGAACTTGGATGGAAAACAGAGGCTCACCATTCATTTTCAGGCAATCTGTTAAGCTGTGAAAGGTTCACCTTCACTGACTATACAAATGACAGCAGAAAAACCAAAACTCACCTGAGTTGTAACCATCACCTTCATTTCAAAATACAGGGGGAAATAAGTTAATATACTGGGAAGAACTTGTATGAGGTGGCCACTGTGGTACCCTCCAGCTGTCCTGAACTGCCAGTCCCATAGGCCCAGCCAGCATAGCCCATGGTCAAGGATGATGAGTGTTGAAGTCCCAGCAACATCTGGAGGGCATCACCTTAGACCATAGACTTGTAGAGTTGGAAGGCACCACAGGGGTCCAATCCCCTGCAATGCAGGAATCTTTAGCCCAACACAGGGCTTGAACCTGTGACCTTGAGATTAAGACTCTCATGCTCTACCGAATGAGCTATCCCAGGCCTGCCTATCACTCTATCTCTCTCTTAGCTTAGAAATACTAGAATGAAGTAAGGGTGCGTTAGTTGGTTAGAACATCATTGTTTAACCACTATTTATTAAAATATTCCTTTCATGGATCAAAGTATTATTCATCATTTAAAACAATGACAAATATATACACCATATACAGCAGTAAGAGAAATAACTAGCAAGATAGTTCATGATCAAGGGTCTGGGTAGAATAAAAACGTCCCCAGTTTCTGACAGAAACACATCGCTAGAGGTGGAAAAAAAAAAAGGTAAAGAACCCCTGGACGGTTAAGTCCAATCAAAGGCAACTATGGGGTGCAGCGCTCATCTCGCTTCAGGCTGAAAGAGCCGGCATTTGTTCACAGACAGCTTTCTGGGTCATGTGGCCAGCATGACTAAACCACTTCTGGTACAACGTAACACCATGACAGAAGTCAGAGCGCACAGAAACACTGTTTACTTTCCTGGTGTGCTTTCAAACTGCTAGGTTGGCAGAAGCTGGGACAGAGCAAAGGGAGCTCACCACCGTCACATGGATTCGAACCACTGGCCTTCTTATAGGCAAGCCCAAGAGGCTCAGCGGTTTAGACCTACATCGCTAGAAGGTTCTCACTTAGACCTGTGTTTTGGGGAGGAAGTTATATTTTCAGAGAACTGTGGGCCTGCATAGTATCCACAACTGGTACCTAGCATTTTAGGATCAGAACCACTTGTAAGATTCAGCCCCAAACATAAAACCTTTGACTTTGCAAATAACCTCTTTGATGTGTACAAATAGAACACAAAAAACCAATCAGCACCATCAATTAGCAAACAACACTGGATATCTGTTTGGTATGGGGGAACTACCTCGGAAGGTGGTGGACTCTCCTGAATTGGAGGTTTTTAAAGACAGGTGGGATGGCCATCTGCCAGGGATTCTTTAGCTCTGATTCCTGTATTTGAGGGGGTCGGCCTAGATAATCCTATGAGTCTTTCCCAGCTCTGCAATTCAATGCTTCTATGATTCATGCACCAGCATATATATACATATATGTATACATATATATACATACTGCTGGGTATATATGGATTGGAGAAAAATATATTTAGAATGACAAGTCTCAGAAAAGTCATACTTTTGGTATTTTATAGGAGAATGCTAATTCATAGTTTATAGAGAAGAAAATTAGGCACTAAAATAATTTTGCTGAAAAGAAAATATGCACGGCCAAAAATATAATTCACAATACTTTTGCCAACAAACGTATTACAGACAACAGTAATATGCCAAAACCATTTAAACGCCACTTAGTTCAAAGCCAAGCAAAAACTCATGATGTGTTTAATTTGCCAGAAATTTAATGAGCCAATACCGGAAGCTAATATTATCTATTTAAAAATAGAGAAACGGTCATAGTGGCAGGGGCCCTACCACTGAGTAAGAGTCCTCCCTCTAATAAAACATGGTGACTTTATCAGACTGTCACCTGGAGGCAGCCATTCCATTAAGTACCTCAGTGGGAGAAAAGGGAAGCAGGGCTTGTTCCATCCACTTTGTTGAAACAACAGCTCCATCAGACACCTCCTACCCCAACCTCCTGTGCCAGGGGGTTGATTCCCCCCCCCCCCTTCTTCATTACCTGTCCTTTTTCCTTTGTGTGTCTTTTTTATAAAATCTGTAAGTTTGCAGGCAGGGACTGTCTTGTTTTAATTGTGTGTAAGCCACTCTGGGAGCCCTTTTTGGCTGATGAGTGGGGCACATAAATAAACAAATATTTCCAGGAGTCGATGCTCAAATAATTTTTATTATAACTTAAAGGAACCATCTTCAGGGAATGCTGTCAGGTTTATATTTTTCCACTTTTAAAATTCAACATTAAATTCTTTATTTTTTTAAAAACTGCACATTTTCTTGGAATAATGCCCACACATCTTCTTGATGTACTAGTACATTAAACACTCAGACATCCACAATGCAGTAGTCCCCCCCCCACACACATTATCCATAGCCTATTGTGAGGAGACAATCCTAGTAGGGTTGAGCCCAAACTACTCACTGTTTTCCATGAGCAAGTTTGAAATGTTGAGCACCATTCTTTACACAATTCTCCCTTCCTATTGTCTAGAAGGTGCTGGCTTGTTTAGAGAGCACTGCTTCCACTTTGAATTGATTTTATTCACTACTATCAGCATATACTCAGATCTAACTGGCTAGGTAATGTCATGATATCATCAAGTTCACCACACAATGCCTGATTGCCCGGGATCACCCATGTAAGTAATGTAGGGAGGAGAAAGAAGACATGGTTTGGGGAAATGGTGTCTAAGGCAGAAGAAGTGTTTCATGTAGATTTGGAAGATAGCAAACTGATGATTTGGCCAGCAAGGAGAGGGCCTCTCTACCTATGAGCATCATATTGTCACTTGTCTTCAGTCTGCTGAAGCAGGACATTAGTTGGTGGAGAGGAAACTGAGAGGTACTGAGCACCATCCTTTATCCCCAGCTCCACAGAGAAGGTAAGGCATGACCATGAGAGTGGAGAGATGGGGAAAATGCCATCATAAGTTTCTCATTTTTCCCAGTCTTTAGTTCTCCACATTTCTGCATCAATTCACTTTCATAATAACAGTAACAGTAACAGTAACAACAATAACAACAACAATTTATTATTTCTATCCCGCCCATCTGGCTAGGTTTCCCCAGCCACTCTGGGCGGCTTTCAACAGAACATTAAAACTAGAATAAAACTTCAAACATAAAAACTTCCCTAAACAAGGCTGCCTTCAGATGTCTTTAAAAACCATACAAGTCCTCATGAGAATTTGTTAGCATTTTAGTGCAAATCTATGCCTATATTCTCATATTTGTATGCTGTTTTGCCCAATATACACATTTTTTGAAGCAATTTCCCCCTAATGTAATGCATTTTGTACATTATTTCCACTCATATGTGCATTCCCCTAATAAACACTTTATTGCGTAAATTATCAGGTTGGAAAACTGTATCACAAAATTTGGAAAAGTGAATTTTGAAGGCTCACTGTGTTTCAGTTTACACATTGTTTCAGAAAGCACAGATTAGGTAGGTTTGTCTTAAACTCATAACCAATCTGAAGGAGGAAAGGAGAAATGTGGGCGGGGAACTTATAAGAGGAAGGGGAGATGAACTGGAAGAAGGGGAAAGAGGGTAGGTAAGGAAAGGTGGCAGTGGGAACAGGCAAGAGAAGGATATAGTCCTTGTTTGTCATTATTAAAGAACATGAATTCCTGTCACTTGATTCTTAATCCTTAGCTGTAACACAGATAGTCTTCAACTAGGAAGCAAATTCAGCTGGGCAATGTGCTCCTGCAATAATTAGAAAAGATATCACAGACTTAATTATGTCTGGTCCCAGATTCTCTTTAATGTTTAAACATAAAATATACTTTTAGACAGAACATTTTATCTGTGTTACTTTTGGAGTTACTCCCAATTCCAACTTTCAAAAAGACCTAAAGGGCAACACTAAAAGCAAGAAACTATTTGGAAAATAGTACATTTGCTGCTGCTGCTGCTGCCCCTTGCAAAGCAAACTGCATGGTCAAAGAGCAGGCGTTATGGATAATCAGTGTAAAACGAGAATGCTATTTTTGCCAAGGCTCTTCAGCGTAATTAACCCCCTTGGGGCACTTTAAATTTGAAAGCTATCTTTGCTCACAACACTGTGTGTGTGAGCATCTGTGTGCATACATGCATAGACGCACTAGGGGGTGTGAAACTGCTTGCTGTGCTCACCAACTGTCCTGGCATTCCCCCTATTAATCCCCCACAGCTTCCTCATCCCATTGCAAGCTACTAAGCACTTATTCATTTCCCCAACCCCATTTCTTCTTCTTTTTATTAAAGGTTTTCTTGTTTTACAGAAGTATGTGTAATGTCTCTTGCATTTTTTTCCATGTAACATTTTTACAAATCAGTTTCATTTGTTGAGACATTAGGAAGAAAATGGGAGGAGGGGGAAAAGATGGGTGGGGTTTGGGTCGGGTGGCGATGTTTCTATTTTGCTGAATATATGTAGGGTTTGGTGTCAGCGTTGCTCGTGCAGGTTCTCTACTATTCACTTGTGTTCCTTTGGTGGTGAGAGAGGTTGGGGTTGGCCTAGGGTGTGGTTGTTTGTTTGTGATTGGCTGTGGCAATCTTTGTCTTTGTGTGTGAGTGGGGTGGGTGGGTGGGTGTTTTGGATCAGGTTAGCCATATTGATTTGTATGCTGTTGGTGGATTATTGTCATTGTCTTGTTGGGCTGTGTATGTGATAAGGGGGTAAAGGCGTCTTATTCTGTTGTCTCCGTGTCAGTTTCAGTTTATTGGTTAATTTTTCTAGTAGGGCTGTTTCCCATACTACAGTGGTACCTCGGGTTACATACACTTCAGGTTACATACGCTTCAGGTTACAGACTCGGCTAACCCAGAAATAGTACCTTGGGTTAAGAACTTAGCTTCAGGATGCGAACAGAAATTGTGCTGCAGCGGCGCGGCAGCAGCAGGAGGCCCCATTAGCTAAAGTGGTGCTTGAGGTTAAGAACAATTTCAGGTTAAGAACGGACCTCCGGAACGAATTAAGTACTTAACCTGAGGTACCACTGTATTTGGTACCATTGGTCCATGCTTCTGAAGCCACTTCTCTCATCTGTTCTGCAATCCCACTGCATCTGTTTTCACCTTCATCCTTTGGCCATGCATTCTCCTTCCTCCTTTTGTACAAACCTGCTGGCACACGAACCACCCCAAGGTGACCTCCTGCATCTTTCACTTTCCACGCATTGCAACTGTTTAGTGCCCAGCTCTGAAGCCACAATCCCTTCCTGTTTCTCAGACCCTTTCAAGCCCCTTTCCAGAGCTTTCATCTTCACCACCCATTCCCTTGACTCCTGCTCCTGCCTGTTTGCAACCCCGTTGCTCCCCCACTTTCATATTCACTCCCTTTTTTTCTTCCACCCTTCTTATTTAAACAGTGCCAGAGGTTTGAGT